ATCTTGGTAACACTCCCTGACACATTTATTGTAGGTTAACAGGACCAGTCTCCTGTCTACATCAATGGCCAAAGTGGCACAACTGTAATTTTGATCGTCCCCAGGACATGGAAATTTGCATGTATAGAATTGGCATTCAAATTTAAATACTACAACATCAAACCATTACTCAAGCATATGTCATACAAGACAGTCAATAACAACGAATATGCAGAGTTGTCATATTGACTTATTCGATCTTTGGATTGACCCACATCATCAGCGCATTGAGCAACATGCAAGAAAACAGTCCACCTTGAAAGTTGTTGCCTTTGAGCAGCATAATGAATTCAAGTTATTTTCTCTTTCCTCTACATGAACAAGAAAAAGGTGAAAAGGCAGCAAAAGTATAACAGTTAAGCCTTCAAATTAATGTTATTTATATTTATTACTATTAATGCGAGAGTTTTGAAATGTTGGAGCTAGAAGTCAGATTGTAACACAGTGATTTAGAAAAATGCCTTAATTAAGCTATTGTCTGCCAGAATAAAGTCATCTGACTACTGACAAGACACTGGCATAATATGAACTTATACTTGTAAATGAGAGTAATAACTTGTTCCATTTGTCAGTAAATGAATTGCAACATGATGACTTTATGAACTATTCCTAAGTCAGTCTAACATTTCACGGTGTTGTCAGTTATAGCTGACTAATGTATGTGTATTTGCCACCGTAGGAACATAATATTAGTGGTTACATAATATTAGAAATACTTATTTGTCTCCGTGCAGGTGTGTAAAAGGTGTGCTTTGCTACTTAAATAGCATCACAGCCCTGGTTTCACTGCACTGTGCCAGTCTCTCCTATATCACATCTCTGGTGTTATTCTCAGCCGTGGCTTTGCTCGTTTAAATAAAAATTCATTACAACATTTTTTCAATTATTTCATTCTTGATAGTTTGTACCTATTCTTTTCCATTTGCTGTATTAGATATCCCAGTGTGATGTGATTATTTAAAAAAAAAGAACTGAATTTGTGAATTTATTCATTTCACAGACGGCAAATAATGTCAGCGTAGAGCTCTTAATTTCCCTTTAATATGATTGTTTTTAAGGCCATTGTTACAGCACCGCAGATGGGAAATAACTTCATTATCACAGACCATTTCAGTGTATGTAGTTTAGGTATGTCTGCGGCGTGGTTGACGCTAATTAAGTTTCTCATTGAATATGTTTGGACAGAAGTTTCTTGGAGATTATTTATAAATCAGTAATGGGCTGCTCACTGTAGAAGTGGCTAATGTAAACTCTGACTCTAATAAGGATAAATTCATCTGCAGTTTTGTGCTCTCTGCTACAGCAGTGAAATATATTAAATGAACAATGGATAACAGTCATTTATTCACTTAATTATGTCCATTGAGTTAGTTTGACTGCAGCTGTGCCTTTTGTATCGCGCTCATTCGGTTAACAAGATAATGCAAGTCATTCTAAAAAACCAACCCAGTGCTTATTTGGCCCTCAAAGTGAGTCAAAATGTTGTCAAGATAGTTCATTTTGCTGAAATGATATTTCGTACACTCGACAGAGCTGCACTAGCCGATGCTATAAAATCCAACACAGTTCATGGCGTCTCATTATTTGCAGTAACACATGCATTCCCACTGTGCTCTGTGAGTCATTGTACAACTTTCCCATCAGCCATACATCCTGGTGAAATTCTACATTAGCAGCTTCAGGAGGGTTGTAAATTAAAAATGAAGAGGCATCTGGTGGCACAGATCCCCGGACCTGTGCTGGGGCTCTCAGAGGCCACACAAACCACTATTTCAATTCTCCAAATAAATCCTTCTGTGGCCAGACCGGCCGGGAAGCAATAATTCACAACTGCGTGCAGTGGAAAGAGAGACTCACATGATGGCTACATCTCTCCTTCTCCAGTGACACCAGAACACTCCCCTCTGTGGTCCTCAGTCCCAAAAGCCCGAAAGAGCATCGTAGCAGTCTGACAAAACAGAGCTGTCACTATCTGTCTGCATCGAGACAGAGAACAGACTCAAACTATGTCTGTATTCCTTTCTGCCTTTTCTTCTTCCCTCCCATTTCCCCTTTCCTGTTTATTTCCCTTTGTCCTTTCAGTCCATCTTTATATCCGCCATTCTTCCTCTTCCTCTTTATTATTTATTTTCCAGATAGATAGATAGATAGATAGACAGATAGATACATGGATGGATGGATCTCTTCCTTTCTTCTCCCGTCACCCTCTTGTCTTTCATCTTCCCTTCTTTCTGGACACAGCTCCCTGCTCTGCACACATTCTGCTCCATGTGGCTCCAGCCTCATGTGTTGCTCCTGTTTGGACAGCACCGAGGCAATCAGATCTGTGTTAAATGTGGCCTCACACTGGGCTCCACACTGATTGGTGTGTCAACACAGGCTGGATTTCAACTGCCTGCTCAAATGTGACTTTGTTTGTTGTGCCACCCATTCAAATCCGACCGAGATCTGATGAATAGGTGAGAGCAAGCTCATCAGATTTGAGCAGGCAGTGTAAACCAAGCCTGTGTTGACTGACACACCAATCAGCGGAGAGCAGAATGAGAATCTGTGTTTGTTGCGGAAAAGCTGTCTGTGCCTTCAAATATGACGTCCGTGCTGCTAAGTCTTTATTTTGTTCTTGTTTGGAGTTATTCTTTATTTATTGCTGTCTAAACAGGAAGGAACGATGTTTCCTCTTGTTTTTCGCAACACTTTGAAAGGAACAAGAAGATCACATGTAGGTGAAAGAAATGAAGGATTTGATCCAGCAGTTAAAATGAAGAAGCTCTCTGGAGGATTGGATGCTGCTGGTTGGGTGGGGAGGTGGCAGCGGGGAGAAGAGTCGTAACCAAATCACTGCAATTAGCGGAGGAAGCACAGGAGACTAGTGCCCCCCAGTGTTGGCTTCAAGTATAAATAGTTTTTGTATGCTTCTGTGAAATTTCTGGATTAAAAATTACCCAAAACCTATTTTGTAATGTACACTGACTTCCTTTTTGGCACCATTATCCTCTGAAACCAAACTTTTAATTGCTGATACAGTTGTATATGTGTGTCTACTACGATTTCCTTCTCCTTCAATGTGAAAACTCAGACAGAGTAGCTGAGTGTTTGTGCATACGGCTGTTGGATTCCTTTTGCTGGGATGCCATTTAGAGGTAAAATATCTAATATGTATGAGATCACTGTAAATATCACATTTAAACACATTATGTCTTGTGTAATCAAGTGTAATCAAGACTAAGAAGTGGAAACCATAATTTACTTGAGCTGTGTTTTTTTCACAGTAAATGGATTCATCCTGGACTGGTTTCTGATTCATGGATGAAGTCTTCAATATAAAGCTTTCAGTGGCAATTCTCCATGGAGAAGCACTAAGACTGTATTGACCTACATTACTTCATGTATTTTTGGCGTACGGTCTTTATGTCTTTAGCTATTCTTCCTCAGTCTGACTCAGTATCCATAATCCCTTTGTACAGGCTGGATTGATGGCAAACGTACATCATTCATCGGTGTCTTTGTCACTGGATGGTTTCCTTGGACAGGCTGCTATCAATGTGTAACCAAGGTGAACCAGAGAGGCCACATGACTCATTTCACAGTCTGCCATTGTGCTACATTTCCCTTTTTTTGCACAATACAGGATGAAGTGTAGCCGGCTTATCACATACAGCACTCTAATGACGTATCATTACAGGAAGTTGAAATGCATCTGCAAGTGAAAGCAACCAGTGGTAACTTACCCTAAAGGCCTGCGTGGATCAGCTTTGGTGAAAGGGAAAAAAAAAAAAGCTAAAGATATGATTTGCTCTGACAACATGCCAGCATCGTTGGTTTAATGACGTTTTCACAACTTCATCCGAATGTCCCATTGAGCCTAATGAGGGATACATCCTCTCCCCCTGGAGCTAAAGTCCTGCCTCTGTGGGAGCCAGCTGATAGCAGGTGGACTTTGGCCCGAAAGGGAACGAGCACAACAAGGAAGAGCAGCAGAGCAGATTCCCGGCCGTCACCGCAGAGGTAAGACACATTATAATGGATTGGGGCTGTAATTCATTCATTTATGCAAAGAGACCTGAGTCAAACAGCAGTTGATCACTATTTGAAGACTGGAAAAACGCAACCGAAGCTCTTAAAAGTCATTCTTTCACCATATCATGGAGCTGAGGCTCCAATCTTTTGGGCTGTGTAACCGAGCAGTAACGTACTCTTGTTAATGTCGTAGAAAGCCTTTGTTTTGTCAATCAAAGATTTTAATTCGGGGAGCCGAGCCAAAGAAGTTGATGAAGGAAAGTCAAAGCTTCATATTATCTGGCATATGATTTATTAGTACCATGAGTGCAGAGGTCACGGCTAATTACTGTTATTACAGGAAGGGAATATTGTTATTCATTAAGCCATAGATGGATGGATGGATGTGCAGTGCTGGTGTTTCTGTTGTGTGGAACAGCTTCTTATCTGCAGTCAGTGCATCATGGCTGTACTCAAGTTTTATATCATGCAGCATTGATCACTGTGTAACTAATTATGACTTCATTTATTCAGTGATTAATGCAGGACCACAGACATTAAACAGAATGAGTTACCTTTATGTATTCACTACATATAAAATAGGATCCCTGAGTGTATTGTTGGTCTGTCCTTCTTGATAGCTGAATTTCCTCTGAGATCAATTAACTACAATCTATTTAGCCATTAAATATACATACAGCTCTATTAAACTGAGGTTTAAGGCCATAATTATGGATGTTAGTCATGGTTGGCTCTGTGTTTGTGTGATGCATCATTTTGTAATTACCCATTTATTTGTTCCACGCTGACATTGCCCCATTCGGCAATTTAACATCGCTGATGAAGATGCTGACACCATCCACAAGGACGCTGTTTGTGACTTCAACGTACTTGGATGTGTCTTGTTTCTTCTCTTCTCAGTTTTGTGTCTCAGTTGATGAGAAGGTTTGCTAACTTCTAGTAGAATGGCCCAGAGCAACAACGATGAATTCTTACCTCGACCCCCTCCGTACAGCCCCCAGGAGTACGGACCGAATTCCTACACAGGGATGAGCTATCAGGTTGGTAGCAATCATGGGACATTTTGTTAGAAAACTAAAATGAGGAAGTCAGTTAAAATCATCCAAATTCCAACTCTAGTCTAGCCTTTGATCAGTGGCTCATCATAAAACCTCAACACACATTTAATTACACAAGGATGATTTATTCCATTTCATTAACTCACTTCAAAAGAAATATTAAAACCACTATTCATGGTCATTTATGGTTTTGTTCAAAAGGAGAGTTTTGTAGAGGTGTAGTTTGAATTCCTGTGTTGCTTGTTTGAATGGCGTAGGTGGGGAAGGGCAACATTGCTGTGGTGTCTCCTCCTGGCAGCTTTGATAACATGGTCCATCCTGTGGGACCAACGGCACCAGCAGCTGGATACGACCAACAGTACAGTGACGCTCCTCCCAGCTACTCCGATGACCCTCCGGATAGCGTCTTCAGCGACGGTGCCATACGAAGAGGTGAGGGCTAAAGGACAGGACGAATAAAACAGAGAAACAGAAGGCAAGAGGAAATTTGTTTGCGTGGTCAGAGCTGATAAACAATATTTACTCCCTCATTTGCTTTGCAGTGTTTTCTTGAAATTGATTTTGAATTGAAAATTGTTCCCTGATCTCTGCTGCACCTCGGCTCAGCTCTCCTCCCACACAACACAAATCATTTTAAATGAGAGAATAAAATGCAGGTTTGGTGAAAACACAGCTGTTTTGAGACAGCCCTACCTGACTGTCTGCTTCACTCAGACTGTTTTTTTTTTGTGTTTTTTTTATTGTTGTTGTCTGTGTCTCTATTGTCTGTCTATCTCTGCCTATCTTGCCTCACTGTGTGTATGGGTCATTTTTTCTCACACAGGTTTCATTCGGAAAGTCTACTTGACCTTGCTGATTCAGCTGGTGTTCACTATCGGGATCATCTGTGCTTTTCTTTACTGGTGAGGCACCATTATACATTTGAATTCCTTCCAAGAAAGAGATGAGTCCGTGTCAGGCACCTGTCCATCTGTCGCCACAGAGTGACATTATAGCTGCCCTAACCCAAATTTGAAACAAGATGGTGTACAATAAAAAAAGCATACCTGCTACATAATATTTTTGCTTTCAGTAGTTTGAAAGTCCTCTATGTTTTATGTAATGGATGTGGTAGAAGGCTGCTACAGTAATTTCTTTTCATAAATTGTATTCAGCTCCCCTGTGCACAATGCTCTGCCCTCTGTTAATATTTAATAAAATCATTCTATTACTCCTATCAAATAAATGGAGGCTCTATTAAGCACTCCCATCTCTCTCTCTCTCTCTTTTCCCTATCAAATAACAGGGACGCACTCAGGGAATGGACAGAGGACAGCTACTGGTTCACCTACAGCATGATGTAAGCCATAAAAAAACAAAAGTTAGATTGTTTAGTTGCAACACACTTTCTTGTTTTAACCAGTTAGACCAGCTACAAGTTTTCCTGTTTGGTAAATGAAAACATCCACATAGAAATCCATGGATGTTATTCACAGCCTGCCATCCCAGTCTGAGTCCTGGTCCAAGAAACTGCCAGCGACGCTGTGCATAAATAATACACTCAGTGGGTCCACGTATTGAACACAATGCTTCTTTTTCTGTTTATAGGCTGTTTATTTGTTATTTACGATACACTCTATATTCTCTGTGAAACAGCACGATGGTGGTTGTGCTCATTCTGGCCTTTTCCTGCTGTGACAACCTCCGTCGTCAAGTACCCCTCAATTTTATTGCCCTGGGCCTGTTTGTGAGTAGAAGCAGCACCAGCCAGGCATCAAATTAAACCGCCACCACACCTGCTCTACTTCACTGTGTTTTTTGTCATGTATTTACTTTCCATTTGTCTCTCCCTTCCCCTTTCTCTGTCTCCCTCTCTCTCTTTCTGTCTCAGACTGTTGTAGAGGGTATGATGCTTGGATCCGTGTCAGTGTGAGTGTTTCCAAGGATGAGTATCCACCTGATGCTGACTCATTTACACAATAATAATCCCATTTGATCCATATCAGATCGCGTGTTTGATGCCAGCAAAGAAGCCATCAGACTCGATAAGATGTAATCATTGCTGGTTTACCAAATTAAAAAGCATATGGAATCACATTTTCCGGGTTTTCAGGTGCAGATAAATCTGAAGCATCGCAAATAGTTCAAAACCAATTGCTGTGTATTGGTGCCTGTGCAAACACAAGTTTCTTTCTCTCCATCCGTGAGACATTTCTTTTTCAGCAGCATGTCACGCTGTCAGAAAAGGCATCAGCCTCGCAATCAATAATACATTCAAATTACCATATTTATAGGATATTGCTATAGCTGAAACTCTAACTGATAGGAAACGAACATAAGTGATACATTATGCAGTGCACGTCCAGTGGGGGTCTCTGCCATCGCTCTAGTTGAGACACATAATACAGACTGTTTAATGAAAAAAAATACCACATTTCTTATAAGAAAGTGATGTTCCCCTTTTAGGATAGAGCAGAACCCCACTGTTCCTGTATCCAGTCTGCCTGCTGCTGACTAGCTAGACATGATACTGTGGGGGTGCCTTTCCAGCTTCACATCTGTTTGATATTTCTGCCTGCAGGCGGTTCGAAGCTGAAGCGGTTCTTTGGGCCGTCGGGGCAACAGCGCTGGTGTCCTTCTCCTTGAGCGTGTTTGCCATGCAGTCAAAGGTAAGACGCGTCACACATTCTGAGCCCAGTTTGCAGTGCACCCGAAAGTGAAATTTCATAAACTGCCGGCGACTTAGCTATGCACTCAGTGGTAAATGTCCATACACTGATCTGTGTTTCCTGTGCAGCCAAAAGGAACGTGCTAAGCTGAGCTGTTGGCTGGGTTTTTTCTCTTTTTTTTTTTTTTTTTCCCCTTCTTTTCATGCAGCGTTTGCTATATGCACCGGCAAAGGTTTAAACCGCTGATGGATTTGCTGTCCAGGCAAAACTATGATTGCTGCTGAGATCAGTGTATTTGTCAGTCAAGTTAATTCCTCATGTCCAGTGGTGAGACAGAGTTAAACCTCCGTCTGAGCTGTTTATATGCTGTCTGAGGCTCTTACCTTCAGAGATCAGAGGGGGTCTCAGGCCTCAGTTATTTGTTAAGTCACCTCTCTTGCATTTAACTGTGCATTCTACTGTGTAATTAGGCAAACATGTTGCAAAATTATTTTTTTGTAAAGGCCCTTTCAGAGACACGTGCTTCTCCAGTGAAACATTTTCATATTGATGAAGTTTTTTCTGATGAGTTTTGTGCAACAGCATGCACATATTCCTTTTATTTAATTTTTTGAAAATACACTTCCGACTTAAAGTCTAATAATAAATTACATGAAGATGTCTCTTGGTTTATATAACACAGCTTCTGCTTGTGTGTGTGCGACATTTAAAAGTTTTATTACACGTTGCAGTGTTTTATTAAGCAGAGCCAGTTTGCACAAGACCTTTTGAGAATCACTTCGCTAAAAGTTTGATGTGCTGCTTCAATAAGTGGCTCATATTCAGAACAAAAGTAATCACACAGCCAGTGGTACAAAAACAGGAAAGTGAAATAGATGTCGGCCACGTTCAGATTTCATTCAGAGTCCGTTTTAATTGCTTCTAAATGCAGTTTGACATTTCACATATTTTGTTGGTTAATGTAGCTGAAGGAGACATTTATTCTGTTTGCTAAGAATGGATGAAGCAAGCAGGAGAACTGAAAGTATGCAGCTTCTGGCTGTAAGTGCTCTTTATTAATCTGTAGCAGGAAGACATTTAGTCCTTAGGTTTAAATGTAGAGGGAAATACTGGGCTGTAAAAGTGACCAAACCCTCTGCCAATAATATAGTTTTATTGGCTGAGTGAGCAGCCACCACATCAGACACTTTTAGTTTGTTTTTTATGACTTCATGTTCCTCTTCATCACTGTCCAGCACCTCTTGCTCTGCAGTTCACAGCTTTTTGATCTCTGTCACTGTGATAAAAATGTCACGCAGGACCAGCTTGCATGTTCGGCTCATAGCCTCCTCAGGTGATCAGCGTTAGTGATTCTCTTGTAGTAACTGCCATCTTTTTTTTCTGTCAATATGAAAAGGGCAAGTAGGTTAAAAGGCCACCTCCACTCTCCTCTTTTGTGCACGTGTAGCAGCATGTTGATTCATTATCCAGGAGCGTTTGTACCCACAATCATTAGGATGTTCCCGTGCATTGAACTCCAGTTTGTCTTTATCATTTTCAAAATCTGCAGCGCTTCACAAGCACAGCTGCAGCAGACGACCTTGAGCGCTCCTGGCTTTTATGGGAACGATGAGTGTAAATGTTTGTGTCTACAGTTTTCTGTTTAAGAGGCTCGTCACATTCAGTGTCTGTCTCTCTCATCTCACCTCCTTTTTCCGGCACCAGTGGGACTTCACCACAGCAAGTGGGAGCTTGTGGGTGTTTGGCTGGACCCTCTTGTCATTTGCATTGCTTTGTGCGATCCTCCGATCACAGGTAAACCAAGGACCCACTTTGTTTACACATCTGTTTGCAATGAGGACACATTTGAAATGATTTGCAGCATTTAGCAGCAGACAGTACGTACAGCCTTGTGGCTTTTATCCCCACAATGTGCTGGCATTGACCTGTGTGCTGAGCAGACTATAAAGGAGAAGAGCACGTATTCTCAAAGCTCTCCAGAGTTACACTGATCTCAAACTGATGCATTTAAATGTACACTGCTGTTTACTGTGACAGCTGTTCGTGTTTTAGGCTTAAGTAGCCAGCGGGTCTGTACAGAAGTATTCATTCTGTCAATTTTAAAGTACTATTTTTCCAGGAGACAAATGAACTGGAACTGAAAATAAGCACTGCTATCCTTAAACATACTGTGTCCACACTTTATCAGCTTTCACCATCATGTTTACTTCAGAACAGCTAGAATGAAAAATAGGGCTGAAAGTGTCCACACTCTGTCATGTTGTGATATAAAGGATGATTTATCACATCTACTGCACACAGCATCATTTTACTAAGGCAGGATATCACATTTATTTTTAAATAGTAAGCGCTATGCATGTTTATTACCGTATTATCACAAATAAAGTCATTTGTGTGGCTAAATGCTTCTTTGATTCCTTTACAGTATGCTTACATCACATATGCCTGCCTGGGAACCTTGCTGTTTTCTTTAGTAAGTACACTCAAGCCCTCCTGACAGAACACGATTTTCTACAAATCTGTGAATCAAAAACAGACGGAAAATGACCTTTCAACAGGAAAGAAACCATCATCAAAGAAAGCTTAATGTCAAGTGAGTGTATGTGATGTAAGATTTGATCCCAGCACTGAGCAGCCCGTCGCCGCTGTTTGTCACAGTAGTTAGTGTAAAGAGAGAGAGAGACTCTGATGTCCTTGTGCCCTTTAATTTCAATTATGCACTGCTTAACAGCGGTGGGCTTCAATTTCACAGCCACCTTTCTGCGTGCCTTTGGCATTAACAGCAAATGTTGTGACCCCTCCCGTCAGCTGGTGGAACAAACTGCGGCTGCACACAGGGCTGAGCGGGCTGTCAACAGCAAGTCACAACTTATTTTCAGCTGCCTAAGTCTGACTATGCAATAATTTATATGGCCTGTTTATCTGCACAGAGCCATCTCTCAAAAATAAGAAATACTGCCCGTGTTTTCTTTCACACCGATTCCTGTAACCAGCTCTTGGTCTCTTTCATCACACACACACACACACACACGCTGCCTTCAGACGTCAGTGTTGGTAGTGTTGAAGCATCTCATCTCTGTCTGTCTCTCTGCAGTACTTGGTGTTTGATACGCAGCTTATCCTGGGTGGAAAACACAGGAAGTATGAAGTCTCTCCAGAGGAGTATATATTTGCTGCTCTCAACCTGTATTTGGACATTGTCTCCCTGTTCCTCCTCCTGCTGCAGTTAATTGGCCTCTGCCGCTGACATGGAGGCTCCATGACAGGCCTCCCTAAAGAAACGCTGACACTCTTCCCACACACACACGATGCAGTTGTTGAATTTAGCATAAATTTAGGGTCATATTGAATGAGGATTCACACATTTTTGACTCTACATACATTTACTGCCATATTTAAGCACACATGCATGTCTGCGATTTAAGACAGCTCATATTATTGTCATGTATCAGGGTTTTTATGTTATTGTACACGGCAATGTGTTTTGTGCATTTATACAAGTGAGATTTTTATATTGCACTGACATGTATACCTACCTACAAATCATATTCATGTGCTAAACAATATTTGTTTGCTGTTTACATGCTGCTTACGCTTGAACTCACAAATGAGCCACTTCACTACTCGCTTGTGGCGTTTCATCATTATCAGGCAAATTAGCTTCTATAAAGTTAAATCATCTTACTAAACCACAGTTTAGAATACATTTTCTCATTTTTCTTTTAGTTGAAATGAATCTTTAAGATGCAAACGCTGGTCTGAATACAATAAAAGTTCAAATCGCTCAGCTTAACCACGAACATTAAGCTAGGCTCTGATGTCTTCTTTTAAATATATATTTATGCACAAAACCACAAAGTAAAACTCAACACATAGTTTATTGGCATCACACACCAAACATCTTTTTGTTTCATATAAAGAGGGAATGTATCAAGTATAGACTATCAAAGTGCAAATAGCATTTCAAGGATTAGTTGCTTTACAATAGAAAATTTCAATGAGTTACAAAATGTTATATGCCATTTAAAATAAATCACCTGGACATTAGAGGTGAAATACAAACAAAGTATAAATTTCATGTAGAACCCATTTCATGCACAGCATACTGTTACACAGAAAGGGCAACATGTTATCTCCTCTGATTGACGCACTTACAATGACCAACAGAGTTAGTTCCATTAACCATATGGCACTCACAACTTCAAGACACTTTTTAAAGCAATCACTATCGTTAGATTTAATGTTGCTCTATACATCTGCAAGGGAAAGGTCGTTGACCTCAGTCAGACATTAGTCTGTACAAAAACTTACTGAAGTCCTAAAGGTGAAACACTTAACAGTGTGTTTTATTTCATACGGGTTATTCACAATCCATTACTGAAATGGATCCGTTTTATTTCAAATAAATACCTACTTTATATTGCAACTTTCCTCCATTTTAGCGTCTTCAGGTAAGATATATATATATAATACATATACAGTAGGTCAACTCATTCCAAAGTCAATACAGTGATTTTAGTTTCTAAACCACAGGAAAACCAACTGTTTCAAAGGCAAAAAGCCTTACACACAAAAACCAGAGGAAAAATAAAACACCTTTCTTCAAAATAATTGGGAACAAGGTTTCAAAGTATGACATTATTAATTCTATTTTACCAAATCATATAAAAATCAGTGTTATTCGTTAACATAATACTAGAACCAACAAAAGCCTCATGCTACAAATATTTTGATGAAAAAAAAAATCAAGAGCTTATGTCAGCACACTATAAATGTTATACAAGAGAAATAACTTTAAGGTAACAGGTGTTTTTGTTTAGTTTACACTGCAGATCGTGTGTATTTAGCACTCAGAAAAAATATGTGAAAAAGAACTTAATAATGGTGATTGACACAAAGGCACTGTATCTCTAACTGTGTAGAGAACCGTTTCAAAGACATGGACTCTCCATGTGGTTGAGATGCTATTCACATTCATGAATTCTCCGTGCATTACCCTGCAGTCCGGGATATCTGCAGAGATCTAAGAAGGCTTTGCTTGTTATTACACTGAAACAGAACCCAGAGATAAATTACAGTGACGTGGGCTTGATTAATTAATTCACCCTAGTCTGAATGTGATTGCCTGATTATCTATTTCACTGGCCTTCCCTGCAGTACATAAACAAGAATACTCGCTATCTACTTTATCTGTCACACTCCACAGTCGGCTGCAGTACTCAAACGTTAATTTAAGACAAGCTACAATGGAATTCAGAATATGCTGTCACAAAGGTGTGAACTGAATCACACTGAGCAGCCCCTATGGGCCTGTCAGCATTTGTTGTTTTTGAAGCTCTAAGAGACACTTCCTATTCAAAGTGTGTTAGGACTCAGGCTTTGAGCTGAATAACCATTGTCAAGTCCATTTTGAAATGTTTTTGAGCAGGCCACCTACTTTTCAGTTAAATAATTAGTTGCTGTTTTTTTTTTTTTTTTTTTAAATGTGGATGCTTCACATACTAAAGAACACAACCATTATGGTTTTAAACTAGAGTTTTACACAGCACACTACAGCTTTTAACCAGTGAGATTTGAAAATATCACCCAGCTGCAATCTCAAATAAAAATATGGCTCGAGACTTTCACACAGAAGTTCAGCTGAGTCGTTGAGATTGTAATAAGCAGGCACAATTTGCTTTGAAGAATCCACTTGGTGACTGCAAACTGTGCTTTTGCTAGTCAGTGTTTGGCACCTATAATGTAGGCAGATATGAACAGGAGTGAGAACTATCTCTCAGGATGTGTCTGACAGATTGAATACTGGAGCAAAAATATTTATCTGCTCAGCTGAACAATCTCCCTCGAACCAGATCCAGACTGATACAGTAGGCTTTTACTCCAGTGGAAACAAAATGAACAGTTGCTAGGTTACAGTTCCTAAATCTCTAATCTCCCCTCAAGTTGATTTCAGAAAAAACAACTTATTTGTATTTTCATCAGTACGGAAACCTTTAAGGAGCTACTTTCTTGAAAGTGGTAATTGAATGTGATCTCTTAGGTTAGTGCTTTCTTTGCAGGAGGGCTGGTTGTTGGGGGTGGCTGACAATGCAGTAAATGCAGGGAACCAATCTGACTGTACTGTAAGGTTAAGTGCCTGCATAGAAATTAAAAGCCTACTTCTTCCCCCACTTTCAAGCTGAGTGTGATTGACACATCCTCCATTCTCTGTACATTACTCCTGCTACTACACATATTCCTCAACTCTGTTTGCGATCTATAGTGGTTTTTGGCCTTCTTTAAAAGCTCCTTCCCACCTCAGCCAGTCAGATCATACCAAGTGCACTTGCTCTTCCCACTCAGAGGAGCTGGTGCTAGGCAGCTGGTCGGACACAGAGTCACAGAGCGGGCTGTCGACATGGCAGACCTTCGAGCCTCTGCGCTCAGCATGCTCTCCGCTTGCGTCAAGGGTTGCCATGTAAGGTAGCGGCATGGCGTCCAGCCCTACTAGATCTAACTGTGTCGGCCTCTCGGCGACGGCGCACTCTTTCTCCTCCATGTCACTCAGTCTCTGAGAGCAGAAACCCACGTCTGCCATCACCTCCTGAGGTTTCCTGCTTTCAGGGCGGACGACGACCCCGCTTTTGTCGTCATCTTGCAGGCAGACTCCTCCGCCCGCATGGAGTGCACCCAGGTTTGAGTCGGTGTCGGAGGAGGTGGGTGGGACCAGGGTGATGCCTTGAGGATTCATGTCATGGAACCAAGCCATGATGTTGCCCAGCAGGTTAGCATTTGCTGCTAAAGCAGAGGATGAGGATGGGTCGTGGCTGCCGCATGTGGTCGAGTCTGTTGTGTCAGTGGAAGAAGAGAAGAGGCCTGTGGAGGAGCTGCTGCCACCTGCAGCCATAGGTATCGGCACAGAGGCCCCGTACACCCGGTGATGACTGTCACAGTGCTGCACAGAGATGGGAACACCAGTCGCAGCAGAGTACTGGCTGCTGATGTTGATGTTGCCAAGTCTTGCCAAGTTATCTCCCAGCTCCAGCAGTTCTGAGCTGCTTAGAGAAGCTCTGGGGAGGACCTCAACACCTGGACCACTCTGCTCAAGCCTAGAAGGAAGGGAGGTGCCGATTGCGCCAAGTGAGGCTTCGTTGGCAAGAATCTCGTGATGGGACCCAATCCCTGCCATCCCCGAATCCTGGAGTGACAGCTGAATAGCCAGAAGAATGTTAGGATCATCGTCGTCCAAGGAACCAAGACCCTGCAAGAATATACAAGATACGCAGCGTCAGCAACTCAAGCCAAACCGCTATCATCTAGTTACAGAAAACAGTTTTCAGAATCACAGTCCAACCGGCTCCACCTATTGGCAAATAAAGTAAAAGCAGCAGCCGGTTAGAGCTGCAGATGCAGACGAGGACAAGACAAGGAAAGCAACAGCTGCTGCAGTTTTGACATTTTGACACACAAACCTGTAGGCAGTGACAGTTATTTTTAAGCCGTGCTTTGCTCTGATTGTGTTTTTGAGGTTTTACATTTTAAAAACTCACAAATGGTAAAGGATTGTGATATTGTATTTTTTTGTTAACAAGTCCCGCAAAATAACAGTGATTTAGCCCGTCGCTAGCCAGCCTTTATCTGTCCGCCCTAAACCCATTAAAAGGAAAAAAATCCTAAGAGAGCTGGGCGCTGTAGTTTTTGGAAAATGTCACTCAAACCAGAGTAAATTGTTTATTTGTTGGGGATTATTTTCAGTTGTGGATTTGGTGCAGTCGTAAGTATGAATGGCATCTGGACGATGTGTATAGGCTTGACTTAAGAAAACAAATAGAGTAGCAATGATGATGGTAGTGAAGAAGCATGCCTACCTGTACAGTGTGGGTAACTGATTCATTTTAGGGGTTTCTGGACAACAGTTGAAATCTTTAAATCTAAAACATGGGATTTATTTAACTTGTTTATTTTACCTGTCAAAAATCACAATACATGAAACCATTGCTATTCATCAACTTTTGTAGGCATCTTTTAGTTACCTTTCTGATTTCAAACCATCCGTCTGTTAGATTCTGTGGCCCCATTTTACCAGATTTTTGATTCTGGTTTCAGTCTTATCTTTTATACGATTAACTTGGTGCAATTCTACAGTGAAAATAATTGGATTAGAATTTTTTTTTAAATGTTGACTTAAATTTGCCTTTAGGAAAGACACATAACCCGAAACTTGTTAAGTCAAATAGTATTTTATTTTTTTGTTAAATATTGCTGTACTTCATTCAAGTTATCTAAAAAGTTTTAAAAGCTGAGAGCCTTGAGCTAAGATGAAAAGAGCAACTGTGCACTCACCATCAGAGGACCTTGTCTACGCCCACCTCCGACATCCTGTGTGTCTTTGTAGAAAAACGGACAAGGAAAAAAAATGGCCACCATTAGAATTACAATCACTAAACTGAATCTTTACAGCAACACATGGACAGAAGGTTAGTCGATTGCTAATTATCACATTTAGCAAAATCATCTTTACTTTAGTGAGTGCTGCAAAATGACCAAGTAATAGCAACCTGACAGTATGCACAGTCAGCGTTCTGCCAGGAAATTCACAAATCAGTATTCTCATCTGAAATCAATAAATCCATCTTGGCACAATAGAACCTATTAGCTGGTTTCAAAACTGCAAGTTTCATCTATCTTTCACTCTGCACAGCCAAAAACAAAGCACCACTGTGATGGACAAGACTGATGGATTAGAAATACTGCCTTATTGAACTTGAGCAGTTGTGATTTTCCAGAGTTTGGCCTCTAATTTGGATTCTGCACG